TTCTGACTAATAGAAAGTAATTTTTCATTTCTGAAGATAAACTTGTAGTCGTACCGTTGAACTCAGCGAGCTGACGTTCCTCCTGCAGCCTCTCATCCGTCACTCGGAGGCCCATCTTAAACTTCAGGTTGGTTTCTCTGTGAAGACCAAAACACAAAAGACTGAAACGACTCCAGAGCCACAATTTAATTCAAGTTTATAAAACCTGCATTGGACACAAAATGAATTCATAAAGTGCGGCTGCATGCAGAGCTACGACAAAGGTGAACTCGATGTTTGATCTCATTGTGAGCTGGTTCCATTAACGACAACAGAGTCCTGAGTGTTTAATTTAAAGGCGTTTCCACCTCAGAATGAACGGTGCCGGTCACAGGACGAGTTTGGCCGACGTTCCTCTTTTCAAAAGCTCTTTACACACTTACCTCTGATCAGTGTTGACTGAACACTTAATAAAACCACTGATCAAACAAAAAGATCTCCAGCTGTAGAATATCACAGCTCGAACCAGAGTGAGCAGGTTCACATGCTCCAATCACGTCACTGCCCTCAGGCTCTTTTAGGGGTTTTCTTCTATTTAACTCTTACCCGTCGAGTTCGGCCGTTTCCACGTAACACAAGCTGTTTGGGTTGGTGCTGGATAACAACAGGATGTCCGCCTGGAGACAACGAAACACGTACATGTTAATTAAGTGAAACTGATCAACACAGTAAACAACATGATTCTTTAAATTAACCTCCGCGTCTTAAATCATCGTAAAAAATGGCTGCCATGATTATTTTATCTAACTTATTAAATCTTGACATTAAAACGTCAGTGAGTCGGTTAAAGGTGCCGTCTCACAGATACACCCTGAATCATGGTACCGGAATAAAGTCGTTTTTCTTCAGACGGACCACATCTCCGACCTCAATGTTCCTCCACTTGGACTCTTGAAACCTGAACAAGAGAAAAACGTTTTCCCGTCGTCTCCTGAACACAAACTGAAGACTGGTTCTTACAGTACAACGTCGGCATCAGTTTTTAACGATGGGTAACTTCCTGTTTTTTTTGAACTCGTAGCTGACAGAATATTAAACGTGTTCTAACCTGCCGTCCAGCAGGACCTCGCTCTTCCTGTTGTTGATCTCCTTGTCCATCCTGTGCCGAGCCTGGGAAACAAAAATTAATATCATCACATGAAACGTACGTTAGCTTGACTCCTCGGTAAACCTCTCATACTATATTGAAATGTGTGTGTGTGTGTCTTTCCAAAGTAGAATTCTTACCAGGTCGTCCACCAGGTCTTTGATGGCGGTAATTCCCAGCACCACCACCAGAGGAACCAGCGTGGTGTACCAGGGCAGAGTGGTGATGTCTGGAATAATCTGACAGAGAAACAAACAGGATGGTTTTTGATCATCTGTGTTTTTCTGTGGACGAGAACTTTGGTCGTGCACGTTTCTCTTGGTACCTGCAGGATGAGCAGAGCCAGGAAGTAGAGGTTGGCAGCTCGCTTGAACTGCTCGTACAGGTTCAGGGGCAGGAAGGTGAAGAAGTTGTACTTGTACGTCTTGATCGCGTTTCCCTGCAAGAGAAACACGCGGCGGCGGAAATGATTAGCACGACGTCGGCTACTCCTGCCCGCTGGTGTTCCTGGGAGCAGAGGACTGTTTTCACACCCGTCTGTGTGCATGTGTATGAAGTAATTAAAAAATGACACATGCACAAAGTACACTCTTACAGAGGGGGGAGGGGCACTGTCTGCTTAGAGATAATAAAAACTAAATCTGCAGAAAAAACAAGGACGAGCAATTTGAGCTTTTCTCTCAATCATTGCAGGACTCTGACATAAATGTACAGTTCAAGTTGCTCTAATAATCTGGCTTCAGTTCCACTTGCTCTCACGGTGTCTAGTGTTGGTGAGATACATGTCGGCCTCGCGGGACGATCGGGTTTCAGAAAACACAAAAGCTCCAGAAACAAAACGAACAGTGATCCCTTCACGGGCTGAGGCCCCCCGGAGAGTTTGAGCACTGGAGCGGTGAGCTGAAGCTTCAGGTCACAGAGAACTTCACATTAACTCCACAGGCAGGACAGACAAACATAAAAACTTCCACTGACTCAAATAAAACTCTCGTCATACAACAGCAGAACTGCAGCGTTGACAGGTGGCAGCATATTTAAACACGACCTTTCGGCAGCTCAGGGAGCCCTGATGGAAATGACTCAGCAGAAAGAGTGACGTCACAGGGAAACGTCTCAAATGTTATAACTCACTTTTCTTCTCAGGAAATGTTCAACATTAAACTTTAATCCGGCCGAATCCCTCAAAGACGTGGACGGGTCTATTTCACCTACTTTAGGATTTATTAACCTTCGGACACAGAAGACGACCGATATTTTTAAAGCACGTTTATATTTCAGTGTTAAACAATTATCTAATCATCTCTAAGGTGAGTTTTAAATTGTGAATATATAAATCGTGCAGGTTGATTGATTTAGAGATGAAATTTGATCTAACGATGATGAACAGTCGAACTCTTAGTTCTTGTTCGCGGTGCGTCCGCTGCGCTCGGCTCTAGGTGCTCAGGGTTTGGTCAACAAGAGTCTTGATCAAGTTTTTCTTGTTGCGACTGATACGATGAACAATCAGCGCATTTCTTATTTTAACCACCGACGCACAGCGTTGGAGAAACTCATGAATCTGCCTCAACTGAACACCATAGTACTTTGTTTTTTTTTTCCAAGTGAACTTACAGAGTATTTGCTTTTCTTGATGCACAGGAAAACTTTTTTCTGGAACTCCGGCAGGTGGTGGTAAGGTCGATCGTTGGCTTTCACCTTCCAACTCATCTCTGAAAAACAAAGGCTCCGTTCTTAACACAGGGTTTCCTACACACAAGAGTAATTGTTCTGTAGTTTACCTCAGAGCGTGATAATTCATATTTTCTATCTCTTCTGGTGGAACTACGTTTGTTCCCTTTGTGCTGAGCTGTGCACCCCAGGTGTTTCCCTCTACACAGTATAAAGCAGATATATCCATCCTCTCATCCAGATCTGAGATTTGTATCGACTCACCGCTCGGTTTAACTTCTACCGGAGGCTGGGGGACTCTTGGCGCTTCTTCGGTTTCTTCTTCTTCGGAGCTAATGTCTAATTCGTCGTCCGTCTCGTCGTCACTGTACGGCATGACCTCATCGTCAGGCCCCAGGGACCCCTGGGAGTCCACGCGCCGCCGACTCATCTTAGCACCTCAGGTTTCTCTGAGAAAGACAAAATACACGCGTGATGTTAATCTCATGAAGCACACGACACGTTGGTTTGGACAGAGTCTTAAATCTTCAGAGATACATGTCACATCTACATCACGGTCTCCTCCGTGTCCCCGTGAGGAGGAAACCTGTCCTGTTTGTGAAGTTCTGCTGAAAGACTAAACCTATTTGCATAATAACACAACACACTAACGTGTCGCTACATTCAAACTCTGTCCGACTAAAGTTTTAGCTCAACGTGAGTGAGAATCCCTGTGACGCACCAGAACACACCAGTCAAATGAGATTCAAACTGTTAAATGATCACGTCTCCCCAGTGATGTAATGAACATGATGTCTCATGGGAAATCCGGCTAACCGCTCCTGGTTAGTTGCTGGTGTTTGAGTTGGCATTTCCCCGTCAGCTTAATGTTTAATGACTTGGAGTCAATTAGCAGCTGATAAGGTTTTTTTTTTTTTTTAGTTCAGCTTCCAAGAACATTCACACCTCAAACTGCACCGAAGAGGAAAAGAATAAAAACTCAAGAGCCAGACAGCAGATCTACACTTTACCAGAGGGGAAGCATAAAGTCTGGAAAGATATTTCAATGTGTGGAATTTATATTAACTAAACGTTTGTCCTGTGGAAGTCGACCACAACACGTCATGTTGCTTTGTGTGTCTGTGGTCATGTGTCAGACACACCCATGTTCCGCCCTCACAACCTTAATCCATATTTGCAGTAAACTTTAAATCATTGGCTCGTTATGCTGCTTTCCTGCACGATTTCTGGTGGTACTTCTCCGTTACGTCAAGCTTTTAGAAGACGAAGACAAATACTGAGGATCATTTGACCACGGACAGCGTTTGCGGAGGGACGTCCGCAGCAGTGTGACTGGGTTAAATGTTTTAAGGAACTGTGGTTTGACTGAATGAGCTCTGGGTGATCACACAAGTCTGCACATGAAGGCTCAGTGAGGAGGGGGAGGGAAAGAATGAGAGAGAGAGAGAGAGAGAGAGAGAAAAATAAACGACAATAAATCAACTCTCAGCAGGTTTTTTAAATAAAAATCTAACTGCCTTTCTTCAGTTAAAAACCAAAAACGACTTGTGTGTTTCTGGTTTGCACGTCCGTGTCTTTGATTCAGACACAATCAACCTCCAAACTTCAAAAACATCAATAGTCGTGTCGAAGACTTGAACATCAGGTTTCTTCCTCCTCTGAGTCTTTTGAGCTACGCTGCTATCATCCGACAGTAGGACAAAGTACCCCACCTAAAAAAAAAAAAA